CTATGGAAACATCTGATGATGTACGTAGAGTTGGCCACCTGCTTTCTCCAATGTGAAATATAGGTGATCTTGCAAGGTTTCTTCCAGCTCAGTTTCTGTGCTTCCAATATGTGAATGGGTGATTAGGAAGTGCGAATTGGTGATCATTAACTTTTAACAAATTTCAACCAAAGACATTCCTCAGAGTATAAAATTATGGTTGGCTCTCTGATTATATCCCTTCTTTTACCTGCAACAGGAGGTGAAGTGAACAGATGAAAGAGCATAATTGTGACCTGGAATCCTCAATAAATCGGTATTTGACTTTGGATAAGAAATTTGATTTCCTGGTGAGGATAGTTTGAACTATCCCTGTCTGTCAGGACTGGGAGATGCTTCTGAAGCAATAATCTGGTTTTCTGACCAGGGCAAGGAGGAAAGTACCTAATCAAGCTTGAGATAGATCTACAAAAAGTGTTGTGTTTTTTGGGGATTGTTTTTGCTGTTATGTTTTATACCAGATGAAGCCGAAAGGCCATCTAGTCCAGTGTTCATCTGCAGCAGCAGTTGGTACTGGAGTAGGAAAGAAAAAAAAAAAAAAAGGAAAAAAAAAAAAAACAAAAGATATAGGGAGCAGTAGGAAAGAAAAAAAAAAAAAAAGGAAAAAAAAAAAAAGCACAAGTATATGGTGACACTTCACATCATAGTGTTACAGCAATCCATAGCATCGGGACTTTGTATTTGACTCCGAGTTCATAAGCCAGGTAAGAGTTGAACATTCACAGAGTCCTAGGGGAAGGAATTCTGCAGGTTGACTAAGCATTCAATGAAGCAGCGGTTTCATTTGTTTGCTTAGACCAGAGTGGTCCTTGATTTAATGCTTCTGGCTTTATGTTAGGAAGACAGTAAACAATCTTTTGCCACTTGCATTCCCTGTGCCTCTCATTAGGTGCCCGTAGATCTGTCATATCCTCCCCTCGGTCTCCTTTTCAGGCTGAAGAATCATAGTCTGATTCCTCCCAGGACAGAAGCTGTCCATACCTTGGATTGTCCTTGTCACCCTTCTCTGCCTTATTCTGTTGCGTTACCTGCTTATGAGAGTGGGCACTCTAGAGCTGCACAGGGTGTTGAAGACAAGTCTATAATGAATTTCTGTAATGACATTAAGCTTTCTATTTTACTCCCTTAATTCCATATAAATTTCTAACTTTTTTTCCCCCTTTTTGACTATTGCTGAGCACTGACCCCAAGTGCTCATGCTTTGTACATTGTTTTTGAACGTAGCACTGAACAACTTTATGAAAATTCCCTGAAAACTACAGGGTCTTCCCTGAATAATTGGTACAAGTTACTTTTAACCCTGCAAGTGGATTTTACAGGTGATGTCTCTGAATAACATGTTTCTGTTTATTAAAGTTCTGTAAAGGTTATCACGTGCTGATGAAAACACCTCTTAATGCCTGGTTTCAGCAGGTTGTAAGGAGGATTAAAAAAGGGTAAATGTCAAGATGGAGTCCAACCTTGTTCAAACTTACATGAGGAAGTTCTTGGAGAAAGCAGCAGTCAAATCTGAAACTTGTGACAGTGATCTTTTGGGCCTTTGACCAAAGCTGTTCTGGAATAAATACCTTCTAATTCACTGTGTGTGCTCTTACTCCAGGACTGGAATATCTTCTTCCAAATGTCAGAATTCAGAGCTGTATTTTTACAATGTTGTTTGTATCCAGAGGGAGGATATGATTATCTGCTGTGGTATTTACCAGCTTTAGAAAAAGCTGTCCTACCTTAAAACATTAGTTGGATGTCTTACATCAGCATGGTTTTTGTAACTTGGGGAGAAAGTATATGCGGTTGGAATATGAATCTTGATACGATTATATTTCTGCTTCCAGACTTCCTTTTTCCTATCTTGCCTCAAATGGAAAAGGTCTAATAAGAATTATTGTAAAGCTTCATGCTATCAATAAGATAAGGATTTGAAAGTGTGGGAAAGATACTCTGGAATTGCAGTGAATATTTGATTTTCTACCCAGGGCAAACAAAAATAATAGTCTTAACATATAGTAGTGTTTTTTATCAGTGTTGGAGATCTGTAGGTGCACTGTGGTTCTCAGCTAATACTATGTTATCTAGTCCTACCTTCTTATGATTTACTCCAAGGTTCTATGTTGTTCAGGGTAAAGAATCTACTTGGGGAATCTCCTGTTGTAAAGAATTCTGTTCAGTACTGCCATGGTAGGTTTTTAAACCACATGGTACGTGTGTTGCTAGAGAATTGAGGAAACAGTATCTTGCATCCTGTCTGCTTTAGGAGGCTATTCAAATGTCAGCAGCTGAACTACATTCCAAAAAGATGGCTTGAAACAGGTTTTCTGTCCTACTGTTTATTAAGATCTTTTACAAATAAATATTTAAACAGAGATTGAGTGTATCAATAATATTTTTTAAAGTCTCTGCAAATACCTGAATACGTCTATTTACAGGGAAAAGCACTACCCTGCACTTTCAATGTGAAAGACATCAATCTGTTGATGTTTCTTTAGAACTGAAATTGAAAGTGTTATGCTGTATCACAACACTTAAATAATCTTCCACTGGGTCATAAAGCAATTAATTTTACTAAGCAAGATGATAACATTAAATCTATCAGTTACCATAGGTTGTAGTATCCTTCAAGCAAATTATTACTTTTTTTTTTTTTCAGGTGGCTGTGACAGGCTCATACTTCCTATGGTAATAGCAGAGTTGTACTTTTTTTTTTTATTATTCTTTTTAAAAGCTAGTGGAACATTTTTGTTCCAGGCTTTTTGATTCTTAAATTTAATGCAAACATTCTCAAATAAAGTGAAAATAATGTTTTCCCATGAAGTGAGTATTTTCTTTGTGAAGGGATATAAATATTCAAAATTGCTATTATTTGCAAAAATCTGAAATAGCTGCCTTTGTTATCATAAGCTTTTTGGCAGAACTGTAACCATGTGTTGGATAAATACCTGAACAAAATTAGTTATTTCCTTTGCTTTCTTATTTTCTGATGATCAAATGTAGTTTGGCATTTTCTGGGCTTATCTTAGTCTGTCAGCTTGGAAGAGTAACAAATTCATGCATTATGGAAATAAATTCTGTAGTGGGATCCACAAGGTTTTATTGAATTATTTTCCTTTCAAGTTTTGTGCTTTCAGGAGTTCTTTCCAAAAGGCAGTAGTCTGTGGATACCACTTTAACTCTGTTCTCCAAAAGGATTTTGCAGACTTAGTTTATAGATTGCTTTTCCACTCACATTTCCTTTTTATAAAGAGAGCTTGGTCATCATGTAAAATATGAAATAGTTTTTGCAATGAAGAGGCACTCTTAAAATCAAATTCAGGGTAACCCTTTAGATGTGCAAACAGACTTTGATTGCCTGGGTGAAATGGGATGTATTTGTTCTGATTTCTTCCTAATATAATCAGATATTAGACTGACATCAAAAAGCAGTTTCAGAGTGATGGTCGCTAACATATGTTTTTAGAATTTGTAGCCATTGGGAAGTGATTAATAGTGTAACATACAACTGGTCAAAATAGAAAGTCAAGTCAGAGAGGCGTGGTGATTTTTTTTTGGTTATTATTTATTATTATTTTGTTGATTTTATTTTTTTTTTTCCCTGATGTGTTAGAAGTTGAAAGTACATTCTCAGTCAGAGGGCAGAGGTACGTGCTGCCTAAATTGTGCATAGCCTGGGTTGTCAAAGACACCTAGTATAGGATACCAGGCAGAAGGACTTAGATGTTAAGCTCTGTAAATCTGGATATGGCTGCTTGTTGGTGGTTTTGATATAATTTGAGTGACTTCTGCCTGAGGCTTCCTCCGTTCACGCGTATTCCCCATGCCTTCACACTGTTTCCCTTTGCTGTGTAAGCCACAGTCTGGTTTAGTTTCTAGTACTAGAAAACTTTTAGTCCAAACTTTTAGCCCTGATTGTATCTTTTTAGCCTTGCTGCTTTGAAGCAGTGCCATAGGCTGGTGTGAAATATTTCAAAGCAAAATGTACCTTATAAATAGCTAGATAAATTTCAGTCTCGTAAGTATCAGAAGAATTCCTTCTCCCTCAGCATTGTTACTCTCATCTGTCCTCTGATACCTGAATTGTATTCCAGATGGGACACCTAGGATTCTGCATATCTCAAAGTTAATGGTAAAGAAGTCTTCTTTAGGAAGTGGAATATAAGGTAGTTATGAGGCAGTTGGGTTTTTTTCTTTTAATAATTATTTTTGAAAGGTGGAAAATAAAGAGGAGAGAGAGAGCGCAATCCTGCAGATAATTCTAGCATGCATGCTTCCCTCCTGTTGGCAATTTGCTTGTTAAACCTTCTCTTCTCATGGTCTGGTCCTTCCCTTGATGTTATGGACATTCTTATATGTGTCCTGAGACTTAGCCCTTGCCCTCCATAAGTCATTTTATGCGTGTTCTTTGTGTAAAACAAAACACAGGATTGCCATGAGCAAGATACAAGATCTGCTATGTGATGAAGCCTCACTGAAAGGGATTTATGGTCAATACGTTGAATTTATGGCAGTAACACGTGACATAAACCAAGTCTGCTATGCTCAATCTGTTCCACAACTGTGAAATGACAGCATTAGGTCAATCCCTAGCACCTTGCAGCTGAGATCCAGATGTTGGATCTAACCAATAAAATACTGGTTTGAAGGCATTCAGACTGTTTATAATCAACCCATGACAGTGAATACAGGCCTTGAATGTTGCAACTGTGTATGCTTTTTTTAAGGGGTTGTGGGGAGAAAGACTTTAAGCACAGAGGAAAGAGCTGGGTAGTCAGATAGGCAAAGGAGCTACCTGATGCACAGCTCCTGAGCTATATATTGAAGTGTCGTTTGAGTAGCATGGGGTTTTCTTAACTCTTATTGTTATTTCATTTCACTAGAACTCTACCTCTTTTTTTAACAGAAGTTATTCTTAAGTTATGTACAAATTATTTATCCCAATCTTTACATACCATTATGTTACTTTCTTGTAGGCCAAATTGATCTGAAGAGTCCGCAGGATATTCAGGTCTATGTTGTAAATACAAATTTCACTCTAAGGTGGAACTACACTGGGAATGATACCAATGTGACGTTTTCAGCAGAATACCGGTGGTAAGTAGTAACTTTATTCTGAGCCAGAAAAGTCTGATGCTTCTTTGTGTAGAAGAGCATGTTAATTAATTACTATGCTTTTTGATACTGCCATGTAAAACTTCTAGAGACATTTTGAAATCCAGAAAGTAGAGGCCAGGAAGATTAAGTCTTCAAATTAAGTGGAATCCTAGTATTCCTTTGTTCATGTTGTGGTTTGACCCCAGCCAGCAACTAAGCACCACACAGCCAATGACTCCCTGCCCCCCTCCCCAGTGGGATGGGGAAGAGAATAGGAAGAGTAAAAGTAAGAAAATTAACTCTATCCCAGCAAAAACCAGCACAGTTTGTCTAATTCATATGTAAAATTAGATTGTTCGCCGGTAGCCACTTGTTACAAATGCAGAACACACTTGGTAGTAATGCTTAATACTAGAGTGGTTCTTTGAGAAGATTAACTGATACACTTCAAAATGTAGTATTTAGATTTATTTAGTCTCTGTTTTGTTTTTTTTAATTACGCTACATTGTGGCCACACACAGAGAATTTGAGAGAATTTTCAGTGTAGCTTTTGAATAATTTGCCAGTGTTTATGAATCCAGATTTCTCATCTGCAGATTTTAATCATCAGATGAAGCAATTTAATTTTGGTTCTTAAATGTTTGCTTGGTTTTCTTCAGTCGTTTCATATGCCAGTACTTATGCATGCATATACATATACATTTGGTAGTTTGTGGGACTTCCCTGACAAATAAATATTAAAAAACACTTCTAAGATAAAATCACTTAAGAAGTTCTTGATTTTAGGATTTTCTAGTGTATGATTTTTGGATTAAAAAAAAAAATAGCTCACCTTCTTCAATGTATAGATGAGAAACAGGTACTTTGAAAATAGTTTTATTTTAAAAATGTAATACTGGTCTGAGTAAGGTAAGAGTTGAGGGTAAGCAATTACTACTTCAAGTCTGTGCCTCTTTGGTCAGGACATTTTTAATCTCCATGTGAAATGTCTCTTTCTTGAATAGGGTATGGATATCTGTTAACTCACAAGAAAAATAGCTTCTGTAAAGCTAATTATTCCAACACTTACTGCTGAACTCCAGTTTTCTTCTTTGTGTTTTTCTTTTCCCCTAATCTACATTCCTTGCTAATGTTAGAACTGGGTTTTTTTGCTGCTTTTATGCTCTTTTAAGCACTTCTTGCCATCATGACTTAATTTTCTTCCAGTGAGTTATAAAATTATTGCCAGACTAGGATCGTGTACTAAGGATATAATTCTGGATTTTGGCAGTTCTTTGATGCTGTTTTCTGACACTGTGTGTTTACATGGCGAATAAAGCAAACTGGTATCAGACTTTGCAGACTGATAGTTAACCTTTGGTAATAAGGCTGAACTAATAAATTAATAGATTTAATTAATGAATTAAATGGCTATATGAGTGCCAGGGTAACTAAGTAGATAACACTGACTACACTGGTGCTGGTGATAAAACAGCATTAAATGGTGTGACATTTATTAGCATTAGGAAGAAAAGGAAAAAGAATCTCAAGACTTAAACTGTGAATTGGTTTTCTTTTGGGGGCGTTTTCTTTCTAACAGGTTTGAAGATTCTGAGACAGATGAAATGGAATGGAAGGAGTTACCTGGGTGCCAAAATGTTACTCGCAGGGAATGTGACTTTTCCTCAGCAATAACCGAATACTATGATACACATCATGTGCGTGTAAGGGCTGAAAGAAGGAAAGAAGTGTCTCCGTGGTCTAGTATTTTTGAAATGATTCCATATGTTATAGGTATGAGCTCCATATATACTGTAACATTTTTAGTTAAATGTCCTTCAGCACATGATTGTGGAAAAAATGCGTGTGGTTTCCATTGTCGTAACAACATGAGCTAGTGGCTTTCTCAGCCTTAATGTGATACAAGGTATTTGCAGGTCATGGAATGTTATGATTCTCCCCTTTCTGGAAAGGGGAAAGTATTGTAAGTGATGCTGTTTTTCTGACAGAATGTCTGTGACTCTGTATTTTTCTAGATTTCAGAAAAATCCTTTTTAACAGTGGACTCTTCTAAAAGTTTTCTTCTGACCTTGTGACTTTTCGATAATTACAGTATAGTATGTACTGAAGCCTTCCTTCAATGTTGGATTGATTTGTTTGAGCTGGGTTTCTTGCCTTGCATGTTTTAGAATAACTTGTACTGATTTTCACTGCACTTTCTGGAAAACATTCACTAGTAATACTGCATTTGAACTGTACTGGTTTGAGAACCAGGTAATGGTGGTTGTTTTTTAGGTGGGATTTCTATTACGTACTGCCTGAGATTCAGGAAAACTAAGATCCTCTAGGTGGTTACTGTGATCTTGTTACTGCCTCAAAAGAATTAAAAGTAAGATACTATAGGCAGTTACTGTGCTTTTATTAATGCAAATTACTTTTTTGGTGTTTTTTCCTTAGTCATGCTTGACTTTTTTTTTCTTTTAATATTTGCAGCTCAGATAGGTCCCCCAGGAATAGAGTTGCAGTCCACAAATGGAGTCATAAAAATTAAGGTTTCTCCTCCAGAAGAAAATCAGGTCCGAAAACTGTGGATACATTTTCAATATAATCTAGTTATCTGGGAAAATTCGTCAAATGCAGAGGTATGATCACTTACTTTTTAACCTTAACATAAATGTCAGAGATGTACTTTAATTGCTTCATGCTCTGAAATGGAGTTGTTTAATTATGTAACAGTGTATAACTGTTGCTATGCAGTGTAAAAGTTGGGAGGGGGTGTTTTTGGGGTTTGTTTTTACAGGAGGATTGTATTAGATATTTTGTGATAAGAGTTTGTATTTCTGTTGAATGCTTGAGCCACTTCCCAATGCATGAGGAAGAAGGTGAAACCATCTCAGATGTGTTGGAGCAGGAGCCACCCTCAGCCAGCAGGA